TTCCTGACACAAAGAAATGTGATGAATACCCCATTTACCCTGATTTGACTAATTTACATTGCGTGCCTGTATTAAAACATCACATGTACTCTCTAAACATATATGACTATTATATACTCATAATAATTAAAAATAAGATTTTTTAAACAATTTCTTAAAAATAATGAAAGTGGAAATACAATGTACCCAAACTACAGAATATGGCACAAGCAGAACTAAGAAGGAAGATTGTAATCATAAATGCCTAAATGAAAAAAGTCAAAGACTTCTAATCAACAACCTAATGATGTGCCTTCAGGAACCAGAAAAGCACATCCAAAGCAAACCCAAATTCAGTAGAAGGAAGAAGACCATAGCAGAAATAAATGAAATAGAAACAAGAAAAAAGATATCAATTAAAAGGAAAATTTGGTTTTTGGAAAGATAAAATTGACAAACCTTTAGCTAAACTAAGAAAAGAGAGAAGACCTAAATAAAATCATAAATGAAAAAGGAGATGTAACAACTGAAACCTCAAAAATATAAAAAAAATTTCAGACTATAATAAACAATCACAAACACCAACAAATTATAAAATCTAAGAGAAATGGATAAATTCCTGACACATATAACTTACCAGAATTGAACCATGAAGATGCAGAAAGCCTCAACAAACCGGTAGTGAGGAATCAGATGTAATCTGCAATACATGTCCCATCAAAGAAAAGACCAGGCCCTGACAGCCTCCCTGCTGAATTCTACCAGTCATTTAAAGAGAACTAATACCATTCCCACTCCAACTCTTCCAACAAAAATTGAAGAGATGAGTTCTGCTTATCTAGCAATACAAAAAAAAAGAAAACTGAATAAGAGGGAACACTTCCAAACTCATTATAGGAGGCCAGCATTACCCTGATACCAAAATCAAAGAAGGACACAACAAAGAAAACTACAGGCCCATATCATTGATGAACATGAGATGCAAAAAGTCCTCAACAAAATACTAGCAAACTAAATGCAGCAACCTATTAAAAAGATCATTCACCATGACCAAGTGAGATTCATCCTAGGAACGCAAAAATAGTTGAACATATGCAAATCAATGAAGGTAATATAGCACATTAAGAATCAAGAACAAAAACTATACAACTATTTCAATAGATGCTCAAAAAGCATGCAATAAAATTCAACATCCCCTTATGATAAAAACCCTCACCAAATGGGTATAAAACCAACACGCCTCAAAATAAAGGCCATCTATGAAAAACCTACAGCTAACATTATCAGAACAGGGAAAAATTGAAGGCCTTTTCCTTTAAAGACTGGAACAAGATACATGTGCTCACTTTTACTGCTGTCATTCAACATAATACTGGAAGTCCTGCCCTTAACAATTAGATAGGAGAAAGACAAATAAAGGGCATCCAAATTGGGAAGGAATTAGTCAAATTAACCTTGCTCACAGACAGCATGATCTTCTTATACCTAGAAAAACCTAAAGGCTCCAGCAAAAAAAACTATTAAAACTGATAAACAAATTCAGTAAAGTTGCAGGCTACAGAATCAACACACAAAAATCAGTAGTATTCATATACGCAAACAGTAATATGAGGAAGAAATGAAGAAAATAATCCATTTACAATAGTTACAAAAAATAAAAAATACCTAGGGACAGATCTAACCAAGGAAGTTAAAGACACAAAAAATGAAAAGGTATTTCATGCTCATGGGTTGGAATAATTAACATTGCTAAAATGATAACACTACCCAAAACAATTTATAGACTTAATGCAATCCCTATGAAAATACTAATGATATTCTTAAAAAAATTCTAAAGTTTTATGTAGAACCACAAAAGGTCTTCAATAGCTGAAGCAATCTTGAGCAAAAAGAACAAAGCTGGAGGCATTCACGCTCTCCAACTTCAAAATTTATTATAATGCTATAGCAACCAAAATAGCATGGTAATGGCATAAAAACTGACCTGCAGACCAAGAGAACAGAATAGATAACCCAGATGTAAATCCACACATTTACAACTGACTCATCTCCAACAAAGGTGCCAACAACTTTCAAAGGGGAAAGGACAGTCTTTTCAATAAATGGTGCTGGGGAAATTGGATGACTATATGCAGAAGAATGAAACTAGACCCTTATCTCTCTTACACAAAAATCAAATCAAAATGGATTAAAGACTTGAATCTAAGACCTGAAACTATAAAACTACTAAAATAAAACATTAAGGAAATGCTCCAGGACATCGGTCTAGGCAAAGATTTCTTTTGTAAGTGCTAAAGAGCACCAGAGCAAAAATAGATAATTGGCACCTGATGGATTCACTGTTAAAAAGCTTTTGTACAGCAAAGGAAACAAAAGGAAGCAATCAACAGAGAGAACAGACAACCCACAGAATGGAAGGAAATATTTGCAAACCATCTATCTGACAAAGCAACAGCAAAAAACAAAACAAAACAAAACACCAGCAAGAAAGTAAATAATTCAATTTAAAATTGCCAAAAGATCTGAACAGAAATTTCACCAAAAAGGACATACAAATGGCCTGGCCAGCAGATACATATAAAACACTCAACACTACTAATCATCAGAAAAATGCAATTCAAAAGTATAAGGCAAGATCATCTCACCCCAGTTAAAATGGTTAAAAATATATATAAATGTATTTATCACTGATCTGTACACTTAAAAATGGTAAAGATGGTAAATTATAAGTGTATATTTTACCTCAATAAAGAAGTCTCAAGAGAAAAAACATACGCATATTAAATTACTGAGAATCTGAAACAAATTTAGAATAAAGCATACATTCAAACCAAAGGAAAATTTAAAAAGGCTTTCCAACTGCTGAAGTTTGCATTTCTCCAATAAGATAAAAATATGGTTTAGAAAAAATATCATTTTTCTACTTTGTAACATTTAGAGATCCTTAAAATTAAAATTAACTTTCAGCTGTTGAGGCATGCTTGTTCATCAAATATTGTCTGGTATATAAAGGCATCCACGGGAGTTTTATGGACACCGTGTACAAGCTGCCACTAATATTCTTGAGGTCCTTTTGTTTATGGTGGCTCATGGATATGAATTTTACTCATAAGCTATCATCGATTTTACAGTATTTCATTTTGGAGGGGATAAAATTATTGTAATACAAACATTCCTTGTAGTAAATATTTGTATTATGGGTTTTATTGGGACATTTTTTGGGGGACTAATAGCAGAATTGTTTTCCATCTGTTATCATTTAACAATTTGCAATACAAAGAAGGACCCACATATATTTTTTTAAAAAGAATAAAAATTTGATATTTGAAATTTAAAAACTGAGAGACCCAGCTTACCAAAAAGATCAAAATATCAAAAAGTTATTATCTAAAGCTTTAAATCAAACTCCAAAATTCTCCCTCAACACTTTACCTTCTTTTATTTATTTTTTATTAAATGATAGCTGTGTACATTAATGCAAACATGGGGTACAGTGTAGTGTTTTCATGTACAATTTGAAATATTTTCATCAAACTGGTTAACATAAGACTTTGTGTCATTTAAAAACCTTACCTTCAACCAAACACACAAAGCATCACTTAAGCAATAAAAAGAGAGAGATTATATTCTCCATCAAGAAGTGTAAATGTGCCTGTAGTCCCAGCTACTCGGGAGGCTGAGGCAAGAGAATCGCCTAAGCCCAAGAGCTGGAGGTTGCTGTGAGCTGTGACACCACTGCACTCTACTGAGGGTGACAAACTGAGACTGTCTCTAAAAGAAGTCTAAGTGTGGTCTATACCACAGCATGTGAGAGGACCCTGCTAGAAAAAGCCAGGGGAGCAGGGCTGTAGACTGCACTGGCAATGGTACAGAGTAAAACAAAACAAAACAGGCTCTGGAAATTTAAGAGTCATAAAATTTCTATTTTTATTTATTTTTAAATAAAATTTCTAGAACTGTTCTGATTTCAAATATTTTGTTACCAGATATCCTCAAAATTTTAATATTTCTGGCTCCAAATTATATTTAGACTACAACAGAATTATGCCAACTTGCTACAGTACAATCCACAAACTCACGCAATCTACCCGTTCTAGGACAGGTGTTTTGTTCGAGGAAACCTTTCCTGAGATTTTAGTTCTAAAACAGATGAAGGCTCTGAAAAAAAGGCAAAGTTTCTTCCAACCAGAGCTAACTAGCACCAGGAAAGAAATGTTCTAAAAGTATCTTAACAAACATTATCTTAAGAGGTCCTGTTGGAATGATAGACACTCCTAACTCCTAAAGGTTACTCTAACCACTCCTTTCAACTTCTAAAAGTTACTAAGGATTTTGGGTATTTCTGTTTTTTTTTGAGACAAGAGTCTCAAGCTGTCGCCCTGGATAGAGTGCTCTGGTGTCACAGCTCACAGCAACTTCAAACTCTTGGGCTTAAATGATTCTTTTGCCTGTCTTCCAAGCAGCTGGGACTACAGGCACATGCCACAATGCCCAGCTATTTTTGTTGTTGCAGTTGATAGTTGTTTTAGCTGGCCGGGGCTGGATTCAAACCTGCCAGCCTCAATGTATGTGGCCGGCGCCTTACCCACTGAGCTATGGGCACCGTCCAGATTTCTGGCATTTCAAAATTTATTTCCAGATGTCACCATTCCTTCAGAATAGTCTCATAGCTAGTTTTCAGAACAGGGGAAAAAAAAATCCTTTCTTCTCTAACTTCAGTGGCACTTTTCAGCTCTATAATGCAAGCCCTGTTGAATTTCAAGTGGTAGCTAACACATTGTAACTGTTTTAAGTAGAACAGAAGGGTAGGAAAGTGGTGAGAAGACAGAGTTCAGAGTAGCCCCGTCAATGAAAAAAATAAAGCGGGAAATACATGGGAATGTCGAAAGACTCCAATCATATATAATAATGCTCTTAGGTAATTGAAAAAATGCCTAGAACAAAAAATAAAGGTAGAGGAAATAATTCATAGAAATCTAAAAAAGCTTAGGAGGCTTAAAAGAAAGAAAATGTTTGCATACGTGTAGAGTCACAGTGTGATCAAAATAGTGCTTTATTTAAAGTACACATAAAATTTCTTACAGCCATATATGGGAATTTTCATCAGACAAACCCAAGTAATTCAGTTTGGTGAAAGTTTAATACAAATTGATATAGCTATTTGTTTTTCCCCAGAATGTTTTCTGAAAGTGTTGGCTCAAACTTCCTGAACTCTCCTGTCAGGATTGGGTGAGACAACAGTTCCTGCATAAGGCTGTCAGTTTCAGGGCTAAGTGGTGCTTACTTTCTCAGAAATGATAGTTACAATTTTTCCTTGAGGAAAAGGAAGAAAAAAAAAATCCTAAGAAGGGGCAATGGAAAGAGCAAATAAATTCCTTGTCAACAGAAAACACAACGTTTAAAGAGCTATTTTGAGATAAGTGAACAAAGGTTTTCTGAGAAAGGAGACATAACAGAGTTTGACTCTATTTTTTATGTCTGGCTAGCGAGAGCACTGAGCTTCCACAGTTTTCTCCCCATCCCACTGCATGCCTGAGACTTATACAGGGAAATCCATTGGCATCACCTGAGCTCTTGCAACTGGCAGAGGCATGAATCCCCCCAAACCCATATGTGGGAATGCTCCCTAGCCCCACAAGCTGGCCACTAAGAAGGTCAACTTCCTCTCTATTCTTGCCATTTTGGACCAGCCTACATCTACTCTGCTATCCCCATTAATCTTTTGTATGAATAATAATTTTTCAAATTCTCTTGGTGTTTGAAGTACCATCAGCCTTGACATCTGGCCTACTACGTTAGTGAAGAGATTTATAGGAAGGTGGTATTAGAAAATACAATTAACCATGAGTTTCTCTATTTTGTCTGGACATGGCATTATTCCCATCAGTACAAGCTCAGTTTTGAACTAGTATTCCTTGGCTTAATCCTCGGTCAAGAGGTAAAAATCACTGCATGGTGACATCAGACATTTTGGGATATAGATAAAAATACACACATACATAGGTAAAGATTGATGTTTAGAGCCTATTAGACTGAGATATTGGATCAGCATTTCTTCACTTGGATTTGTGATATTCTCACAGTTAATGCTTTGCAGGAGAAAATGGGGCTAGGGGGGTTTCATTCCTCAAAATAGAAAAGCATCACAATTGTAACAACCTGTAGAAGTATGATTCTTTAGTATTTAACAAAATGAAGAGTCTGTATGAATTTGTCCACATTTTCAGGGAGACTCTTCAGTGTGAAGTCTCTGATGTCTAACGAGGGCTGAGCTGTACCTGAAGGTTTTGCCACATTTGCTGCACTCACAAGGTTTCTCTCCAGTGTGGATCCTCTGGTGTTGGCTAACATGGGCACTTCGGCTGAAGGCTTTCCCACACTCCTGACATTCAAATGGTTTCTCTCCAGTATGAACCCTCTGGTGTTGAGTAAGAGATGAACTCTGCCTGAAGGTTTTCCCACAATATTTACAAGTATAAGGTTTCTCTCCAGTGTGGAGTTTCATATGTTTTAAAAGAGTTGAGCTCTGCCTGAAGGCTTTCCCACATTTTTTACATTGGTAGGGTTTTTCTCCAGTGTGAACTCTGTGATGTCGTATAAGGACTGATCGATCACGAAAGGCTTTCCCACAGTCATTGCAAGTATAAGGTTTTTCTCCAGTGTGAGTTCTCCGGTGTTGATAGAGGTGTGAGCTCTGACTGAAGACCTTACCACATTCCTTACATTTATATGGTTTCTCTCCAGTGTGAATTAACTGATGGACAATAAGGGAAGAGTTGTGACTAAAGGCTTTCCCACATTCTGTGCATTCATAGGGCTTCTGCCCAGTGTGAATAAACTGATGTTCAATACAGGCTGAATTACGGCTGAAGGCTTTCCCACACGTGTCACACTCATAAGGTTTCTCTCCAGTGTGAACTCGCTGATGTTGAACAAAGTGTGTTATCTGGGTAAAAGCCTTCCCACACTCATTACATTCATAGGGTTTCTCTCCAGTATGGATTCTTTGGTGTTGAATAAGAGATGAATTGTGATTAAAGGCTTTGCCACATTCATTACATTCATACGGTTTCTCTCCAGTATGGATTCTCTGGTGTTGAATACGAGATGAATTGTGACTAAAGGCTTTGCCACATTCTTTACATTCATATGGTTTCTCCCCAGTATGAATTCTCTGATGTGCTGTAAGGGCTGAATAATTACTGAAAGCTTTTCTACATTCACTACACTCATAAGGTTTCTCTCTGTTATGGGTTTTGTTAAGTTGAATATATGGTCTATATGGAACTAAAGCTCTTTCTTGCACATTATATTCCTTCCCACTGTGAATACTCTTCTGATGTCTGGTAAGGCGTGAGTTCCAATTATAGACTTTTCTATCTTCATAAGATTTCTGCCCTGTATTAGTTTTTGGATGTTCAGTATAGTGTATGCCATGACCAAAGGTCGTCTTCTCACATTGATTACATTCTGAATTTTTCTCTCCAGTATGAACTATACAATGTTCAATAAAAACTGAGTAATCACTAAAAATGTTACCACATTCATTACACTGAAGAACTTTCTCATCTCTGCTCTCTTTCTGATGTCTGGCTAATTTTGAATTCTGTTTGCAGCTCCTTCCCTGAGCATCATGCATGAAAGGTCTCTCCTCTTTAGGGTTAGTTGGTTGCATAACAAAGTCTGGCTGCAGACTAATATGTCTGCCAAATTCAACACATTTGGGCTTACTGTATGCTATAGAAGTTCTTTTCTCACAAGTACCTGTTGCTTCTTTCCAAAGTCTTTTCTGAGTCCTCTGTTTGATCTCTGAGTAATTTTCATAGCGCCAAGCCTCTTTCAAACTGGAGGTCCTTGCATCAACTTTTGTGTCTCTCTCCATATCTATCCCCTGATTTGATTCTTTTTCAGCAAATAACTTCTTTGGTTTTGACTTTCTGGTCTCCACATCTGGGGGAAAAAGTAAAAAAGTTCCCTGTACTAGAAGAAGGAAATAGTTAAGATAGGAATGAGATAATAATGCTGTAAATATCATGTTAGTCACAAATGTAAGACAAACTGTCAAAAATAATTTAATGAGTACCTATTATGGGGTAGGTACTGAGCTATGTGATTAAGATTCAATGATCAACAAAAGAGATATGGTACCAGCTCTTATTCAAATGAATTTAAGCATGGTGAATGCTATAAAGATATTAGAGAAATCTCATTTGGGCAATGACCAGTACTATACTTAGGAATGACAACTGCCCCTAGCCTCTGAACTTTTCCTAGCTTCTGATTCCACCTCCTCACCCCACTTGTCTGGAGTTCACCCCAGCTTAGAGGGGTGCATCTTTAAGGCCTGCATCTTTCATTACAATGAGCACAGTCCTCTCAAAATGCCTTGGTTACTGCTTAGGTTGCTATCCAATTCAATAAGATCATCTTCTATATTTTCCTTTGCTACTGTGAGTCTCATCCACTTATCAGAGATTTCCTTCAGCCCCATTTTTTCCTTCGCTCTGAGCTTTCCAAAACACATTATCTATTTATCTATTTCTCTTTGTCTCTCTCTGAAGACACACACACACACATCCCAATCAAGCTAAAAGACAGTCAAAGTTTAGACTACAGAAATGTTAAAGTATGAGTCCTATTGTGAGTACTAAATTCAGTTTTATTATGGATAAACCACACGTGACATACTTTCTTTTTGTTGTTGCTGTTGAGAAAGAGTCCCACCCTGTGCCCCTGAGCAGAGTGCAATGGTGTGGTAGCTCACTGCAACCTCAGACTCTGGCTGTGGGCATCCTGCCGGGCATCCCACTGCCTCAGCCTCTGAAAGCGACCTGGATTACAGGTGCTTGCCGTGGCACTCAGCTGGGTTTTTCCATTTTTTTCATGAGTCAGGTCTCACTCTCACTCAGGCGGGTCTCAAACTCCTGAGCTCAAGCAATTCTCCCTCCTTAGCCTCCCAAAGTGCTGGGATTACAGGCGTGAGACACTGCACCCAG